GCGTGGGTTAAGTTTATGTGTAAAGGTGATTTTTCATGCAGAGTTCCAGAATTATATTTTTCCTTTAATAAAACACCCTACAACACAGTAGAAGCTTTATTAACCAGCATCTCTGGAAAGTGGGGGCTGCTGATTAACCACATACCCAGTTAAAGAAGGTTTTACCTGACGGATGGAGGGCAACAGTGTTAAGCGGGCAGCAGCCATGCCTGGGACCTAGCTGGGGCCCACCATCTTCTCAGCTCTGCTGCCCTTTCACTCCAGCACCCCACCCCCAAGTCACCTGCATGCCTACTGCAGCCCCAAGACTGGTGGCAGAGAGAGGGACATCAAGTGAAGTAAGTGGAGCACGAGTCGCCTTGGCACGCTAGTTAACTGAGTTGTCCAGTTAATCTGGTGCCAGTTAACAAAACTTTTACTGTGATCAAAAATATATCTACTTGCCAAGGCTAAGTAAAGGCCAAGGCCTTGTGAGGTCATCCAGTTAATGTCCACTTCAGGTTTCTTTTGACCATGATTATTATATAAAACATTTATATCATGCAGCTCAAGAAAGCAGCATACATAAGTTTTCCAGGAGGCTTCCCATCCAGGTGTGCACCAGACTTGTACCTGTATCATCACCCTTCCGACTAATATGGGACTGTGGGATAATTTAAGTGGTTAACAACATAGGGTAACATTACCACCACCCCCCCCATGTTAGATTTTAATATCTTTCAGTGTTTTGTTTTTATTATTCTTATTTTGCAAGGTGCCTCAGGCAGGTTCCCGAAGACTCTGCGTGAACATTTTTCTAAATAAATAAGAAAGCAAAAGATTATACCTGCTGGTTAATACAGGTGTCAAACAAAGGTTTAAGAGAGTTTTTTTTTTAATGAAACTATTTATACCCCGCCTTTTCCTGTGGCTTATAAATTCAAACATATAAAACTCCACATAAATACCCCCACTAAAAAAAAATGCCTACAGCCTACACACCCATTAAAAGCTCTAGTGAATGAAATGGCCTTACAGTGCCTCCTAGATGCCTCCTCAGGGGCTCTGTTCTGTAGCAAGGGTTCTATGGAAAAAGCACGGGCTCTGGTCAATGTCCAGCAGGCTACCCTAAACAGAGGAACAGCTACCAGGTGGCAGCCTGGGCACCGCAGTTGGTGTACAGGGATATATTGAAGTTGTACTATCAAAACTAACATATTAGTTCTGAGTCTCTGTTCTTACATGTACATGGGGTTGAGCTAGATTTTTCTTGGGTGCTGCTGCTGGACTCCAATTTCATTCTCACAACTCTTTGTTAATTCTTGCATTGACGTGCTAATTTGCTGCCATCCATGGATCCTCCTGGCCACCCATTCCAATTTCAGCTATGCATATGCATCTGGGCTCTGAGTGGCCTCTCCTAATGGCTTACCCCCACCCTCTTTTTCCCTGTAACTAGCTTTTGAGATTTTATTCCAGTTTTGTCTGAAGTAGTACGTTTTGCACACGAAAAGTTACACTTCGAATAAAACTTTGTTGGTCTCAAAGGTGCCACTTGACTCAAATTTTGTTCTAACAAACATGCTGACATTTAAATATTAATTTCTTCCTAATTTTTCATCTACACTACTTCATAATAACACCTGCAACATAGTGCTGGGCACATTTACCTCAGAAGGCAATGTGCTTCACTGGACCGCTGACATAAACAACTGGTATTAGTGTGATTCCAACCTTCAGTTGAATACCTGCTTTCTACAAACAGCAAACAGAATAAAAATTCAGCATTCAGTTTGTTTTACAGACGCAATGCCCTACAGATATTCATGTAAGAGTCTATGAAATCAACCCCAAGGCAGCTGTGACAACATATTCTATCCTACCCACACCTTCCCTCTGCTGGTGGAAGAAGTATAATAAAGCTCTGGCATAAGAGTGTGTGGGGAAAATTTTGTTCCCATATCGCTGAAGCTTCCTCAATGTTCTTCTGTCTAACAGGCTCCCTTGATTCAAAGTATCGACCAGAGGGCGGTGGGAGGTGGGTTAAGGAGCTGCTCAGGAAAAGATCTGCCCCCACAAGAGCCTCTTCACACAGTTCATTGGATGCATTACCATGTAAATGTTTACACATATAATGCCATTCAAAGAGACACAAGGCAGAGAAAGCCATAAAATCCAGTGATTTTTCAGTTCTCTCAGGTGAGCTGGACTATTAAAATCTGGTAACACTTGGAAATACCACTAGAGAATGCAGAGCGGATTCCAAACCGAAAGGAACACTCCAGGAGCTGCTGGCAGTTAGAAGGTACGTAATGGGCAGAAGGACATTCTTTATATGAAATGCAGTCATGGATGGAAATTTGGCATATAAGATAAATTACCCTTCCTTACTTCTAGAAGGTGAAAGAACACAAAATGAAATTTTAATCATGATATACGCAGACATCTTATCTATCTGTTTAATTTAGCAGTTCTTTTTCACTAAACCCTAAGTCCCAAGACAATAATTGCCTACTTGTAAATAAAAATGCAAGTTTTATGCATGTAACATCGGAAATGGAAGCAGATGATTAACTTATTAGTAAAGGAGATATATATATATATATATATATA